TGGCAAAAGAGCGTTTCTGTTGGCATATGCCTCTTCCCAGAATTGATTAAGTCATGCCTGTTTTTGTAAAAATCTCTGCAGCAAGGTGTTTTACTGGTGAAAAGATATGTAAAGAATCGCTCTGTTTGCTCACAGCCAGTCTGAATCCTTCCCACAGAAGTAGATAAAAGACTGCATTGGCAATCTCCCCAAGTGGGATTCTGTGTGCTGGGACAGGCTGAGTGCACTTCTATGTCTGAACTAATGCAGACAACCAACGAGACCCATACTAGGAAAGCAAACACAATGCTCTGAGCACAGGGACTCCCAAGTGATAGGAAGTGACTTCAGCACAGCAATTCCTCTATTCCCGTAACTCTCTGTGGGTTTGCCAATAATCCTTATCGTCCTTGCTGAGAAAGGAGAGCTCTGCTAACTGATTACATCCTGCTCTCCTTACTGTGGTCAGTCAGTTGCTGCATGCCAGAAACAGCTGGTATGATTGATAGATAAGCACATGTCTTGATGGCTCTGCCTGCTCTAACCACATCCATCCCTGCGACTACGAGACTGGCAGCTCTAAAAAGGAGTGAAACAAAAACACACAACAGTTTTTGTTACCAGGACTAGTTTCCTACAAACACTAATCCATGGAATATTGACTTTTCCCGTATTTCCTACAAAATACTGTGGGTCTCCATGAAGGGAGCCAGGATGGTCCCAATCCTCTCTGTCAGCTCCCCAAAGCAGGACACCCCACAGCCCAACAACCCCTGCAGACAAGGCAGTTCAAGTGCTGGACCAAGGAGATGCTGGCCTCAAGACCCAGGTTATCAGTCCCCCTGAGATACCATCTCTAAATGAGGATCCATGCCCTGAGCTGACAGGGTCGGGTCTAACAACACCACATGAGACCAGCCAAGAAATGTGCAAGACTGGGCTCTTTAAGGACAAGCATGAATGCATTTGGAATTTTACTCCATTTTGATTAAAGCTTTCTGCACCTTGAGTTCAGCATTTTTGGATAGCCTGAAGGCATTCTTCAAATGCAATAGCACAGTTAAGTAATAAAATGCCTCAGGATCACCCCTACTCCAAGCACACTGCCCTCTTTTAAGCAGCACATCATGGCAAAAGTCATCTCAGGCTGAATTTCCCTTCAGTTTGAGTCACAGCAGTGTCATCAGGGACAGAGTTAGCTCAGTTTGTTAAGTGAGTAGAAGATGGACAATTTTATTTTGGCTTTTGTCTTTTTTTTTGCTGTTCTAGTTCCTGGAATCTGGTTTGTAGAAGTGGCCCTTCCCTTGCTGTGAGCTTACGCTTTAAGGTGGGCAGAAACGTTCAAATAGCATCTTCTTTGACCTTTGTGGTGCTGAGATGCTTGTTGCTGCTTTTTTTGTAAGTTTCTGAGAAGCTCCCACAAGCCTCTGTCCCCCCATCTCCTGAACTGCATCTGCAGCATCCAACAACAATCCCTCTGGAGGGCAGCGTGGCTCTCACAGTGACGACACCACACTCTTAATTTGTTCCAGCCTGTTTCACACTGACATTTTAGCACTGACGTCATCAGCTGCTGAAATTTCACTGCTGCTGCTAAGAATAACAGCCCTCTTCATCCTCCACCTTACACCAAATAATTATTTTAATACTGTAGGGATCTAAGCTTATCATTTCTGACACAAATCAGGCTCTGGTGGTTAAAAGAAGTAGTAAGAGCAAAGCATTGCAGATGCTTTTATGTTCTGTCAGCCTAGGACAGAAAAAAAAACCCAACACAAAATAAAAAGTGTATTGCTAAGTTGTAGGAGTGCTATAAAAAATGAACAGGAAAAGTTCAGAGTGATTTGTTTCAAAGCTTCTTTGTCAGACAGTCCTAGGCATTGTGAATTGCTTAAATAGCCTAGGCTATGGTCAGCCACTTACAATATCCCTTCCAAATTCTCCAAGGCTTTGTACCTTGAATGTTTGCTTATCCTGGTGCACTGCAAGCATGAAGTACTGCCAAATCAGAATTTCCCATTGACTTTGGGGCCTGAACCAAATCCCATCGATTTCTGTGGGAGGATTTCTATTAACTTGAATGGGCATTGAATCAAACCTAAATTGGCAGTGCTCTGCACCCATTTGGCACAGTGTAGCTCTCTGCATAAGGTAGAGAATCAGGTCCAAAGACACTCTGAAATGCTTTAATTAGGAGCATTATTGAGGAGAGCAAGCTTTTCCATCATTAAGCTGATAAACTGAATTTGTTCTATACTTTTAATAGCAAAGGGTCAGAATTTCAAAGAGACTTGGTCTAAAGATGAAGCTGAATGCTTATAGATTTCCAAGAAATGTTTGAAGGCAAATCAGATGCTGAGAAGCCTTTCAAATCAACAGTTCTCTACACTTATTTATACACTTTCAGAAATCCTAGGAGCTACCAACTGGCCTTTCCTGTAGGCTTATTATCTAATGAGAAGTTTTGAGATGAGCATTACCTGCAGCCAGCAGCCAGGTCTGTTCTCCGGTTGCTGGTCAGGGCTGGGCCCTTGCAGGCACAGGGAGCAGCAGCTGCAGTAACTGCACCAACTATTGCCTATTGCCCCCAATGCCCCCATCCCTCACAGAGGGAGAATGGCACCTCTGCCAGGCACAGCAAGGCATGCACAGTCCCATCTGGGCAGGGGTGACAAAGGCCTCTAAAACCCAGACACACAGAGCTCCTGGAGATGTTATTTTGAACCCCTGCTGGGGAAGTCGGTGGCTAGCACAGCTTCCGCTCCAGAGGCAGCGCTGAACCTAGGCAGACCAACATCCTGGTTGAGATGGAGAAAATGCTCACAACTTCTTTGTTATTGCTTCCCCAACAACTCTGGGGTCCAGCATCATTTCCTACGCTGCTGCTGACCCTCTCAGGCACCTTCCTCCACTGCTTGATCTTTAGCAACTGCTGCCTTCATCATCTCTGCATCTCCCTTTACTGCAGAATAAGGCAAGTTTTAGGAGCTGCCATTTCTGATGGATCTTCTGGTTACTCGGTTGGAGTTATTTTGGCTGGCTATTATTTTTAATATGGACTTGAGTGTTTGGCATAGTCTTTTTCTGGAAAGTACAGGGAGACAGATCATAAGACATGAGAGAAAGACATCCCTGCTTAAAAATGCTGGAGGCTGCAAGAGAGAGAAGATGAGAGCAGCATTCTCACACTAAGAAGCCTTCCCATGAAGTGCTGCTGGAAAGAGACGCAGAAAAGGTTGATGCTGGAGAGGAAAGCAAAGAGAAAGTGAAAGTGGTGTCAAAGCCGAGGCTCCAGCATGAAGCGCAGAACTGGGAATGTCTGCTCCGACCCCTGGCAGCCCTTCTTGCCCGGCCTGGATGGGGAGCAGGGTCACATGCCGACGGGCTGACAGGAGCATATCTCTGGGCTGACGCGCCTCTTCCGGCACACGTCAGGATGGGCCTGGCTGGAAGCCTGAGGGAGAGCTGCGGACACCTGATTTCCTCAGCCCCCGTGCTAACCTCTTCCTCTCTTCCTCCCCATGACTAATTTCCCTCCACCTCCTCCCCTGCACACCCCCAGATCCTCACCCTGTGCATTTTTATGCACAAAAGACACTTGTTAATTTGCGCCACCTGCTATTGGAATAAGTACCAGGTAAAGAGATAGGAACGTACTGAGGAATGTGATTCCTACAAAACAAGGGAACAAAGAAAAAATTCTGCCCTGCATTGGCAGGCACAGAAGCAGCTCTCAAACCATCTCCTGATAAGAGCCCTGCTCCTGAGTTGGAGTACTTTTAGAAAAACACATTTAAGTTGCTGAAGAAGTTGCTCACTATAAACAGTAAGGCCTCAGATAGGCTCGTGTGTGTCTGGGGAGTCAGCGGGCCAGGGCATACCTGAGCTGGCATACCTCAGCTCCAAGGGGGTAAGCCATGACTTGGAGCCCTGCACAAAGCAAAGCTGTGCCCAGCAGCATTCCTGTGTGTGAGTGGGAATGGTGCTGCCCCACCATATACTTTCTGCTTTCTTTTGCTGACATGCACAAAACTGCTCCCAGCTTCAGGCTGTGGCTCTGGTTCTGTTCCCTACCACTTTTACTGGGATGCTGCTGTCCCAGTTTTGAGTCTAAGCTTCCCCAGGGTGAGCAAGAGGGGGAAAGGGCCTGCGGGGTTTTTTGTTGCTTACACCAAAAAGAATTATCTAATTAAAAATCATTGGAAACCACATGCATTTGCAGAAATGGCTCTGCTTCAGAGGAATCTCTCGAGGCAAATAAGTGGGTAATTCTTCAAGGGTTTATGAAAATAGTCTGTATAGTTACACTCGCTGGGATGAAATTACAAGTGTTTTCAGTCCTCATACTTCAGGGCATAAGTTGATCCTCAGCTGGGGGCCAGGGAGGAATTTCCTCCCAGAGGATATTATTGTTCTGAGATGTATCTCATGGGAGATTCACATCCTCCAGAGTATCTGGCATTAGCCACTGGAAGGGAAAAAAAAAAAAACGGAAAGGAAAGGAAAAAAAAAAAAAAAAAGAAAAAGAACGGAGCCTGTGCCCTGGTCTCCCCGCAGCACACCTCGGGGCCCGGGCCGCCCCCGCTGTTGCACAAGCTGCCCTGTCCGATGTTGAAAGGGTCCCGAAGGTGCGGGAAGCGCCGCACCAGCCCCGCTCCTTCTGGGAAGCGCCGTGACTCACCCGCCGGGCCGGCCCCGCCCCCCGCGGGACAGCCAATCACCGCCCGCCGATTTGCATCAGCGCCCGCGGGCCGCTGGGATGGCGGCGGGGGCCGTCCCGGCCGCTCCTCGCGCCCCCGCCCAGCCCTGCGCTCCCTGAGGGCAGCACTGGCGTGGGGAGCACGGTGAGGGACCGTGCCTGCGGGAAAACATCGCTCGCCGTTACCTTGGGGCGAAAAGGATGGGGGAATTCATATATGGAGTTACATGGACGTTCTAAATTGCCCGGATGACCCTCAGTGGTCTGGGGTGCAGGCTTCAAACCTGTAGCTGTCTAGCGACAGAGTGGTTCAATTCCACCTTTCGGGCGGGGCGGCCGGGCCGGGATCCTGCCCGGCCCATCCCTTTTGTCCCGGCAGTGCCGAGCCCGACCGTCCTCAGGGAAAAGGGCAGCGATCGCCGCGCTGTCCCCAAGTGTCACCGCACGTTTCGTTTTCTCTTCTTCCACTTTATTCTCACGGCACTGGACTGCTGGAATGGCAGCGTGCCAGGCACAGCCGAAGGACAATTGGTTTTAATTGGATTTTTCAGCTAAGCAGATCTTTGTTAAACTGTGTCACATGTCCTACAAGAACAGAAAAGAAGTAAATAACAGAAGTCATTCTCTAGATCTGCTCCATATTGACGATAACCCATCTCCCACCCACGCTGCAACAAAGATGCTTCACTTCAGCAGCAAGCACGGGTGCTAATAATGTCACCCAGCCCCACGAAAAATAAAGGTTAGCGTCAAGCTAAAAAACATATTCTTCAAGCAGAAGGCATTTATTTTGTGATATCCTGTTACAACAACTCTCCAGTCGATGATTTGTGGAGCCTCTAGTTAGGATGAGACCCCAACCAGCCCCACCGCAGGGGACAGCGAGGATTGGAAGGGCAATTTCACATTTTCTCCCAGCCCCACAGGCAGGAAGGGCGATTCTACCTGGTGAATTACAGAATACTGACTGAATTATCAGATCTCCAGCGTTCTTGGGTGCTTTTTGAGGGGCGCAGTGCTATCCAGAGTTAAGTAGGTAAGCACCCCTGAGGATCTAAGCCGGAGTGACTGTGCTTTCTTTACATGGAATGAGTCACTCCAGCTGAAGGCCTGGGAGAAGGGAAGGGCACAGGGAGCCCGGAGACCATTGCTGATGGCTGTTACTGCTTCGAGCCTGCAGACCCCTGAGCTGGCTGGGGAGGAGCAGCCTTGGTGCCAGCAAGGCATGTTGCTCCAGGAACACACAGTCCTGTGGCGGGAAATCTGAGGGGACAAACCCCTCTGAAGCTCCCACAGTGTGTGCCAACTTCTCTGTGGCTTTGCAGATGTGCGTGCAGAGCTGGGAGCGCTCCCAGTCCCAGATGGCCATCTCTGTGCTCCACACCACTCTGCCTGCCAGCCAGCCTGCTCTGCCCATAATGAACTTTCTATGTGGAATTTCTCTGCGGCCTCAGAAATTGGTATCTGCTCTGCAGTTTGGCTGGGGGGGTTGTTTTGGGGGTGAGGGGGAGACTTGGAAAGGCCTTTGCCCAGTAGTGGGCAGCTGAAAATGTTAGTCCTCCATGTCAGTTACCAAGCAGAACATAATATGGCTCTTTCATGTGGTGTTTATAACTGAACACGCTGTTTTGTGTCAGCCTGATTTTTTTTTTTCCTTCCAAGAAGTAGTTTTGGATTAAATTATGACAATTACATTCTTATATTCACACACACACACCCCCGCCAGCTCCCACCCTTGCCCTGCGTGCACACAAACACAAACGGGAATTATGTGCTCTGAGCGTGATTTGAACTCCACAGCCTGGGATCTGTGCCTGGCATTGAGTTCACTTTTTTTTCCTCCACAACAAAAAGGCCACATCTACTCTCTACTCTTTCATTGCCTCAGGAAAAAGTAGGATGGTCAGATTGCTAGTGTGGGTGATTTGTCCCTGATGGAGCTGATGGCCATGAGACTTCCAGGCACGAGAGGGGAGGCTGGGGAGCTTGTGGCAAGCAGTGCAGGGACCTGGCTTTGTGAAATCCCTTGTGAATCCCTGCTTGGAGCTGTCTACACTCCCCCAGCCTGGCTCCCACACCCGGGCAGTGCCTCATCTGGTAGGTAACACAGGCACATGACAGGAAGGGATCCTACTTTTCTGGGCTGTGCCTGGCAGGACTGCACCTCTAACACGTGGCTGAATGCAAGGAAACACAGGTGTTCATTAGGACAAGGGACAAGGCTGCTCTTGCAGCCTTTAGCTGACACAGTGGGTGGGACAAGGCCCTAGGAAACAGAGCACCCTATATTTCAGTGCTGTTTTTTAACCACTGGTTGGAGGAGAACACCAGTGTGGAGACCCGTGTAGATGATCTGTCCGTAGGAGGGACATTTTGTACAATGCCATCCATGTCCTGTGTGAGTCAGCTTTGCTTGGAGTCACTATTAGTCAGGCAAAGCTTCCAGTGTTTCAACCTGAATGTCACTTTCTTCCCTGACAAAGGGCCAAATTAAGAGGAGCCAAAGCCCTCAGCACTGGTTAAAAGGCAATCCAGGGGTTACTCAGAGCCAAAATGCACGAGAGCCTGGCTCCTTAGTCAAATGTAATGTGCCTCCTGTTGTTTTCCCCATGGAGTCAGAGCATGGTGAGGAGGATGTGCTGGTGACAGATGGCTGACGTGACTCGCTAAGCGTACGGGTGACTGGGCTGTGACTCAGCAAGTGTTTGGTTACAAGAGACTGGGAGCATGTGCTTTTGCACTGGGAACAGTGGTCCTAGCTGGATCTCCTCCTGGGAGGATCAGCCATGGCCTGTCCTGTGACTGCCATCTTCCATGGGAGGAAAGCAGGCACATGTGGCCTATTAGAACGGAAAGTCAGGCTCCTAAATTACTGTTTACACTTGCAGTGGATAATGTCTGAGTGTGTATAAATACATGACCTGCCAGTGGTGCTCAGATGTCCTACTGGCCTTCAGGAAGGAAACATCCTGGCCTAAATTACCATCTTGCTCAGAGGGAGTAGGACTCGGAATTGCAGTTGAGTCACTAGAGGGGGACAAAGACCTAGCCAGGGTATGCATCCATCTACCACTTCCCCCAGCTGCAGCTGTGGGAGACACCTTGGAGAGGCAGCTGCAAAGATGGCCCTGGTCCTTCCCAGGTTTGAAGGTGCCCAATTGCAGGAACAGTTTTCAGGAGGCTGAGCATGCAGGTGGGGACCAGCAATGTTTTGTGGAAATGAAGCCACTCCTTTTCCCCCAGAAGCATGATGGCACATGCATGAGCATGAGTAGGTCAGCAGCCTTTGTGTTGGCTCTTCCAGCATTTCTCCCTGTCTAGAGCCAGCTGGTCCATAGTTAGCCTGGGCTTTCAAAGGCTAAATTCCAGGCATTGCACAGCACAAGACAGTGTCACCTGGGCAGAGGGCACAGACAATCATGTATGGTTACAGGCATATGCCATTTTTTTCTTCTCTCCTCTTTCATGAATGGAGAAGAGCTGAATTTCCAGGTCTGGATGGGTGCCAGGTGTTATTGCTGTCTCTGGGAGCTAAAGACGTCATGGAAATATTGGAGGACTGGAGCAGAGTGTACCTGTGTGCATCCCACACATGCATGGAGAGCCCAAGTGGCCCTGGCAAACAACAGGGCACTGCTTGCAAGTGACACATTGCCCTGGAGTGCTTAAAAGCTATCCCACACAGTGTCCTGGGGAAATGGAGACCGTAATGACTCACAGGAATGGATCTGACAGGAGCCCTCAGCCCAGCCAGGCCGTGTGTGGAACCAAGACACTCCTATTTTCTCCCCTCCAGCATACTTCCCTGACCAAATCCAGGACTGAGCCATTTGGCTCTGATTGGAGCTGGTCAGAACATGTTTTTCTTTTCTTCTCTTCTCTTCTCTTTTCCCCTCCTTCACCCTTTGGAAAATGTTGACATTTCAGCAAAGGGCTGAAAAACCAAACCCTGAATATTTTCCATTGGAAAACGCTGGGGGAAAGGGAGAGGAATAATCCCCAAACTGCCAACAATCAAATCTCTTCTGCTTTTAAGGCTTTTGGGTTTCTGCAAGGGAGGCATATTTGGAGGTCAGTGAACACTTTTTATGAAAATATCTGTTCTCTTAAAACCAAATTTTTCACTAGAAGTGTTCCAACTGGCATCATTTTCACTGGTGATGGTTTGGACACTCTCTACATCTAATTTTGGAAAGACCCGAAGAAAATTCAATTCATTTTATTAGAATATAAGGCACAAATTACACTCCCATAGCACAATTGATACTGAGAATTTGTATTCTAAGTATCATGACACTGTACCCTGATATTCTTTCTTTTTAAAGAGTGCTGTTCACACGAACATCTCAAGCAAGTTTGGAACCTGGTCTCTGGAAACACCACACTCCTAGAGCTCCAACTGACTTGCCTCAGACCTCAGAGCACATTCCTGAAGGGAGCCTACCTTTCACAAGGTCACATCAAAGGCTGCAAAGGAAGCAATATGCATGAAAGGTGTGTTACCTGGAACTATCCCTTGAGTAACTGATAGCACAGGACACTTACAGAGAGTTTTGTTCTGATGTCTTCAGCTGACTTACATTTCTGTTTGAGTTGCAATGTAGACCTGAAACATGTTTCATCTTGGTTTTGCATATTATTCTGCTTTCCTGTAAGCTAAAAATAAAAAAGAAAAGGGACAATGTTAGCCTCACAGAACACACATATTTGGAGGAGATGAATTATGCCCTAAAACCTTCACTAAATGTGGCTAATAGCAGGTTAGAGTTTATAAAAGGAAAGATCTTAAAATGGGCACACACTGGTCATAAATAAATTGAGGCTGCAGACTTGCAGAAACCTTCAAAACAACAGCAGACTGAAGTTCAGAATAACCTCCAAAGAAAAGCAATAGGAATGAAAAGCTCAACTGTTTGAAGACAGATTTTTATCAGTTGTGGGATATCATGACAGCAAAGGAATAGATTCAATCACACAGACAATCCTTTTAATTTGTCATGCCCCTTACCCCATTATTTTCCATGCTGAAGCTTTTCAGTTACTATTTACATTCTCTCTGGTATGATTTAGCAATTGCACTGCTGCACTTCATTCTGATTTAATACAGCTCCCTGTCTCCTGTCACTCCCAGATTTTTCTGAACTAACCACACCTGTGTTTGAATTCAGTCAGCACCAAAAAAGGGGCCTATTTGACTTCATCAAATCCCTGTTTTTATTCTTTTCAGTTTAGGAACATGTCATTGTAATTGTTAAAGCTCATAAAACAGTGGCTTTAGAAAGATAATGATGCTAAATCTGCTTTAGACCTCACTTTTGTTGGTTGGGGACAACTAAATTGCATGTTGATAAAAGGAACAGGTACTGAATGTCTCTGATAACTTAGTGGCAAGAAATACAGAGGAACTGCATTGGTGCTGCACGTGCTTTGTCATATTTTTAAAGATAACTTTTTACTTAAAGAACCTTACTCTTGGATTAATAGAGTCAAAAGATCAAGAGTTTTAACCCCTGACTTTGGAAACACAACTGCATGCAAGAAGCCATGGCAGAATCCTAGGAAGTGCCATCTGGAGCTGCAGAGCTGTAAGTAGCCTTTGGAAAGCCCTACACACAGAGCTGAGATTCAGCTATGAGCTGTCCTTGCTCCCATCAGTACTGCAGGGGCAGATGCAGAAACAAGGAGATCCCAAGTAAGAAGATAAAGAGTCAAATGAATCACCCTGTCACTGTGTGAAATGCACTGACTGGGAGAGCAAACAGATTAAGCCAGGGCTCACGACTGTTAACATTCACAGAAACATGTTCCACAAATTCTGCTTTCAGAGAAAAACTGGATTCTAGCTTCCTTCTGGTAACTTAAAGAGGCAACAATCTGTTCATATGACCTTCAGATTGGGCTGGTACAGTGACTGAATCCTACAGTAAAAACTGAAGAATAGCCTTTGGGGTAGAGCAATGGCTTCCCCCACCCAGCACTCTGCTCCCAACTAGGGCAAGGTCCAGGGAGCACACACACCTGGACATTTTCCTCTCCCATCTGTTCTCTAAGCATTCACCTTTGTTGGATTGGGATGTTCCATTACACATTTGCCTGTTCCTTTTAGTGTCGTTTAAAGAGCCTGTTGCCTGCAAATTTGTCTAATCCCATTTTGAGCCCAGTGATGCTCTCTGCCTCTGCGGCCTTCTGGGCCAGTAACTTCCAGAAGTTCTCTACCATTAATGTGATGTCATTTCTTTAAATTGTTTTAAATGCATCTCCTGCTTGTTTCATTGAGTACTCCCTGTTCTGCTGTTGATGGATTTGGCTGCTAATGGCTCTGCATTCATCTCAGCCACCCTGATTTAGTGAATCCCGTCCTTAGCCACCAGAAAAAATAGGGAAGCATTGCAATACTGGTTGCTCAGCTCACTTCAGTCCCCGACACTTGCTGACCTGCACAGAGTGGTTTCATGCCTGGGGCACTCTGGCTATTACCAAACTCAGGGGAGAAAAATGATGGCAAAGCAAACGGAGTGCAACTTCCTCCGGGGCTGTGCTCCCCGCAGCTGCTCGCCGGTGACGCAACAGGTCCCTTTGCGGTTCGGAGCTGGATGCTGGTGGCCCCGTCCTTCTCCCGGGGCTCTCTCTGCAGTTCCAGGCCCAGCAGGGGGCTGCAAAGCAGCAAACAGGATTTCAGGGAGGGTAGGCTGGCAGCCCTGGCGGGGGTGTCCGGGGCATCTTCCAAAGTGGCTTTAATTAATGAGCACATGTGCAGCGAGGAGAGTTACAGCATCCCACTCAAATTGTTGACTTGGAGCCGCTTCTGGAGACAGCCGTATTCTGCTCATTAGGAAAGAGCTTTTTTGCAATGCCCTTGGATTGGACAGCTCTTGGATTGCACCACGAGATCAAGTCCACGTACGGGCTGCCTGCCTTTCGGCTGCCAGCTCCAAGAGGGTTGTTTTTCTTGTCTTCTCATTCTCAAGGAGTGCTCAGCCAGATGGCCTGTTTTCGAATGCACTGTGCGTTGGTTGGATGTGTGTTTGGAGAGTCTGCCAGCTTCATGAGAAGGAAGAAAGAGCAAAAGAAAGGGAAAAAAGCACCATTTGGTATCTATCTCTGGGACCCAGCCAGAGTTGAGGCTCTGTTTGAAGAAGGGGGGAGTCTTAAGAAGGAAACTCTAGACAAAATTGAAAGCTGGAAAAACTTTCAAGCTTGACAGACTGGGAGACTGAAATTCTGTACAACATCCATCCACTACCTGGCTCCATTGCAAACGTGTAGCAGACTTCCTCAGAAACAACAGTAAGAGCAAGCACGAGCGCCGAGTGTCTGTGTCTCTGCTCTCCCAGCCTACCTCACCTGTGGGTTGGGATGCAGAGAGGTGACCCAGCCAGCTGCCCACCAAGGCTGGGTGATGCTGCCTCTGGGTTTCGGGGATTTTGCTCTCCGTTCACCAAAACCAGAAATTATAGCATGCAGCCTGAACACATCAGCTAGGAAGAGGAATGCAATGGAGTAGTACAAAATACCCATCACCGTGGCCCAATACTTGAAGAAGCTAGCCTTAGTTAGTAAATTAGGCCAGGCCAATGTCATTTTCTTGTACCCTCTTATGTTCATTTCCCAGAAACACCTTCTGTTGGTTTGGTGCAGCAAATAAATACAGGCCAAACCAGAGCAACGGCTTTTTCCAGCACTTATTGGCAAATAATTTGAACCTGACAAGAAAAATCTGTTGTTGAAGGAAAGGGGGAAGTTTTGAAGTTTGGGTGGATTGTGCTTGGCTTTGTTTTCTCAACTAGATGTCATGTTGTGGTAACCACATATTGTTCCAAGCAGCAGGAGGAGGTCTTGCTGAGCAGAGCTGGAGAAAGCCACATTAGTAGCCGTCCCCGCTGGCTGACACGCCACTGTGTCTTACAAGCAGGCTTGTCTGCTTGCTCACTGAAACCATGGCACAAAGAAGATGGTTGCAGGAGCACATGTGTCTGTGCAGGTGGCTGTGGCAGCTGCAAACCTCCCTTCTCTGCTGATTGCACCAAATTATTTTCATTGCAGTGATCGGAATTCATGGGTCCTGGGTGGCAGTGTGTTGCAGACACTCTGCTGACAGCCAGTGCAAAAGGGGCTCTTCTCACTCCTGCTGTGGGACACATCTCAGGCCAAGCCTGCTGGTGTCCACAGCATGTCAAAGCCTCTGTGGCTTCTCAGGAATTCCAGCCTGTCACTACTCCAGTTCCAAGAGGTGCTTCACAGCAGTCTCAAGGGCAGCATTTGCAGGCCCCACCATGTAAAGAGCAGGACCTTTCCCCACACGTCCTAAGCTCTTGGCAAAACAATGTCTCTGACCTAGAGGTGCAGATGCCATCCTAGAAGGGAAGGAGGTTTATCTGGTTCAAGATAAGGAGATGTGTACATCACACAAGTACATTCTTGCTTAGGTAGGAAGGCTGCACAAAGAGATTGCCTCCCTTCCTACTCCAACAGTACTCAATTTTGTTAAATAACCCTGGCATAAAAACACCAGGCTGCAGTACTTACATTCACAGTTAAGTTTATCACAAGAGAATGGATTTTCTGTGTGCCAGAAAACAAGGTGCAAAAGTCTAAGAGTAAATTCAGCCATTCCATCCAGGGCTTTAGAGGGATCATTATGCCACTCTGGCAATTGCCTGATTGTTACCAATGCTGTGTTATAGAGCTGATAAAGAAATTGCACCTAAAATTCAGGGGACCGGGAGTCACTGGATTGGGGTTTACCTCAGTTAGGCTAGTTGGCTAGTTATTGCACCTCTTGGCAAATGGAAATAATGGTTACCACAAGATTCACATGAGTATTGTTGGAAGGAGGTAGCTCCCAAACAAAGGTCATCAGTGCACTTTGGGTGGGAGATCAGCCAGAAAAAACATCCAGCCATACGCTCACCCAAGCTGCACTGGCTGTGTCAGACACAAACAGCAGCCTCTGCATTTTTCACATATGCTAGTTTCCCCTGCTTTGTTTCATTGCTTTAGTGCTGCCTGACTTGTGGACCTGTGCATCTCCACCATACTGTCCAACATGGCATGGGCTGACAGGCCAGTCTGAAAAACAATTCCCTGTAAGTTATCTGGGCTAGGGTTCCATTACATACCTAGCATTGCCCAAGGAGGGGAAGCTAGAGTATTGCCCAACATGGGATTTTGGAAACTTGTCTACTGTACAGAGAGGTGAGGCCTGCCTTTTGGCACCAGTCCTGGCTGCTCTGCCACCAGCCGTTGTGTATAACTTTTTTAGCCACTCAGTACCTGGATGGGAGATCTCCAACAGAGGAACCAGATGTTCAGAAAGTCTCCTCTCCAGCTAGGGATAGGTCAGTACATGGCGTAAGTACATGGCATAAGTAACATTGCTCTGTCCATTATGAACAAGGGTCTTGAGTGTGGCTGCACTTGAGTTCAGCAGCACCCACTGAGGGACTGCAGAAGATGGCTCTGATTTTGCATCTGAGCAGCTCATTTGGGCAACATCCTTCTTCAATAGCTCAAGATTTTACAGGGACTGAACTCCCCAACCCAGTTAAAAAGTGGCCACATCTCCCTCAATGCATGGCCTCACTTTGCACCCAGAAGCTCTCAGAGCATATTCTTAACTTCATTAAGAAAAGCATATTTCTAGCAAGAAGAGATGA